GGAATACTGGGACTCCGATGCAGTTTCAGGGTGTGAGCATCCAATTAATTAATTCAATGAATTTCGGGGTGTGAGCAGCGGGCCCGGGGCCTCCCCCAGGGGAGCTGGGGGTCCCGGGGGGTCTCGGGGGGGGTCCCGGGGGGGGTCGGGCAGGAGCAGCCTCACCCCTCCGAGAGCATCTTGCGGAGGCGCTCGCGGTCGGTGCCGCTCTCCAGGTCGGCGCTCTGGCTGCGGAACAATTTCTCCTCGGGGCCATTGGAGCCCAGCACGGGCCCGGGCAGCACCTGGGCCAGACACTGCGGTGGCCACGGCCAGGGGGCCAGCACTGGCCTCTGTGGCCACTGACCCTGCCTGGGCTGGCCCCTGTGGCCACTGACCCTGCCCATGGCCACCAACCCTCTCTGAACAAGCCCTGTGGCCACCAACCCCCCCTATGGCCACCAACCCTCCCAGCCCTGGCCCCGTGGCCCCCAGCCCCGCCCCGGCCACCCCCTCCTGCCCCTGTTTTCAGTCACCAAAGGTCACCGGGTCACACCTCAGGGCCAGAAATCGTTTCTAAGTTTTCTTTCAGTGGAAATTGTTGAGAATTTTTCTTTTTTTAAACTCACAGCATTGGATTTCCCGCCTGTGAAAATCTTTTTGCTTTGGTCAAAATATCTTTGGTTAGAGGTGGATTTGTCCTTTGCTCTGAGTTATTAAAAACCTAACCCACTTATTAAATTACTTTTGGCTTTCTTAGTTACCCAGTCAGACTGCCTCAGCAATTCTTTTGTTTTTTTTTTTCTATATCAAAGCCTGCTATTATTTTTATTTTTATTTCAGATTTGACATTCAGAGATCTTTCTGTTATAACACAAACATCTGTGAGAGTCTCCTGTCAGGTCCTGCTATTCTGGGAATTCCCAGCCCAGAAAACGGGGGGGATGCAGGGAAGGATTAAATCTGATTTAATTCCAGGAGACAGGAAAATGCTGCTGACATCAATAATTAACTCAGTCATTCCATAATTCAGGGCTGGAGTCGTTCTGGGCTCTGCTGATGCTCAGAGCCCAAAATCAGGAGCTGGGGCAGCAGGAAAAGGGAGGGGGAAAAACTGGGGGGGACAGCAGAGTGTCACAGGGACCTGAGATGGGGGAAAAATAATGGGGGAAAAAATAATGGGGGAAAAAATAATGGGGGAAAAAATAATGGGGGAAAAAGGAAAAGAAAAAAGGAGGAAAATGGGGAAAAAAAAGGAAAAAAAGCTTCCTGCTTCAGAAAAAGCAGGAAAAAAAATTAAAAATGTTGGAAATGACAGAAAAAAAACCCCAAAACAACAAAAGAAACCACAAAGTAAAAACAGTAACAAAAAAGCCAAACTTGCAGCAGGGGCAGGAGCCCCCCAGGCCGGGTTTGTGGGGTCTGCAATGGGGGAACCTTCCCGGAGCACCAGCTCAGCCCATTAATAATAACTCAGCTCATTAATTCGTTTCATTAATTAATTCATTTGATGTGACCTCAGGGCCTCTGTGTCACCCAAACCTGGCTGCCCCAAAGCTCTGGGAGAGGATGGGAGCAAGCAGAGAGCACCACAGGGAAAACACTTCTTTTGTTCCTTTTCCTCCCCATTTTTTCCCTACATTTTTTTTCCCTTTTCCCCCCCATTTTTTCCCCCATTTTTCTTTCCCTTTCCCCCCCATTTCCCCTCCCCATTTTCTCCCCATTTCCCCCCCGTTTTTCTCCCCATTTCCCCTCCTGTTTTCCCCCTCACCTGCTGGGCTGTGATGCTCAGGGCAGGGTTGGTCAGTTCTGTTTTATCCTGGCTTTTCTCCCTGGCCACTCGAGCAGCTTCCTTCACCTCCTGGAACTTCTCTGCAAACTGCAGGGGAAGGGAAAACCCCGGGACTGAGCTGGGGATGGGCAGAACCTGCCTGCAGCACCACTTAAATTGGGTTTAATTTATTTTAAATTACAGAAATTCAAGGAATAACCCCTGGATTTGGCACTCAGGGCTGGGGGTTCCTCCCCTGTCTGCAGCACCACTTAAATTGGGTTTTAATTTATTTTAAATTACAGAAATTCATGGAGTAACCCCTGGCTTTGGCACTCAGAAACGGGGCCTGCAGCACCACTTAAAATAGTTTTTAATTTCTCTTAAATTACAGAAATTCAAGGAATAACCCCTGGATTTGGAGTCTCACCTGGCATAGGTGTCCCTCCCCTGTCCCCCAGGTGTCCCCCAGGTGTCCCTCACCTGTCCCAGGTGTCCCTTCCCTGTCCCA